GTATAAGACACTGTTCATTGACTCTGGTTCCGGTGTTGGTGTTCCAGTGTTCTCCAGTTGGCTCCTGACCATGGCTTTCTATTTGTATACCCTGACTTCTGGCTGTCACGGTTCTCGCCGCAACATCCAGTCTGCCAGACGAGGTCACCCCAGGAGTGCCCAGCAGGGGATTTGAACCCTGGACTTTGGCTTCGTGAATCCTGCTCTTTTGCCACTGTGCTATCCAGCCATTCATGTATTGCTTTAATAGATGTCCTCGCCTTGTTTCCAGCACTGGGAGCTGAACTTACCTGTGGCTGCTCTAGCACACCTGTATCCCATATTAATTGGCTGGATATAAAAGCCTGCCTCACCCTGGGAAGGGTGTCAGCTGTTCTTGAGAAAGCTGCAAATCTGGGTAACACGTTAATTATTGGAGATTTTAATTACCCAGACATAAATTGGGATAGAGGGACTAGTACTTCAGCAAGGGGAATCAGGTTTTTGAATGTGTTAAACGACATCTTTATGTCACAACTGGTACAAGCACCAACTAGAAAGGATGCTTGTCTGGATCTTGTCATAACAAACAATGTTGATCTTTTAACCAACATTCAAGTAGGGGAGCATTTGGGAAATAGTGATCACAATATGGTAAATTGTGAAATAAACTCAAAAAAGCAAAAGCAAGCAGGGTATATTAAAACATATAATTTTAAAAAAAGCCAATTTCAATAAGATTCGGGCAGCTCTGCAACATATCGTCTGGCATAAACTGCTTAGTGATTAAAAACACTGAGGATAAATGGAAACTATTCAAACAAATGTTAGAAAGGTACATTTCTCAGTAAGTACCATTGGGTAATAAATATAAAAGAAACAAATTAAAACCAATGTGGCTTAGTAGAGAAGTAAAACAAGAGATTAAAAATAAGAAAAGGGCATTTAAAGCATTTAGATCGGACAATAAGGAAGCCAATAACGCTAGCAAAAAGGCAATTAAAGTGGCTAAACTAGAAAATGAGAAATTGATAGCTAAAGAATACAAAACCAACCCCCCAATTTTTTTCAAGTACAACAATTCTAAAAAAACAAAAACTGAAGGTGTAGGTACACTGGAAACAGAGTTGGGTTTATTAGCTAATGAAAACCAGGAAAAAGCAGAAATTTTAAATAACTATTCTTCAGTATAAATTAATGAGGATCCTATTGCAAGAGATATGCAAATGATTGCTGCAAAAAAAACTTGCAAATAACTTGTGATTGGATAACTCGAGACAAGGTACTACAGCTATTAAATAAAATTAATGTAAATAAAGCTCCGGGGCCTGACAGTATTCACCCATGAGTACTTAAGGAGCTAAGTGGGGAAATAAGAGAACCTCTTTAATTAATTTTTCAAGATTCTTTTGTTTCAGGTGTTGCACCAGCGGATTGGAGGAAGGCAGATATTGTTCCTATATTTAAAAAGGGTTCAAAATCCTTGCCTGGAAATTATAGACCTGTGAGCTTAACGTCTGTGACTGGGAAAATATTTGAAGGGCTATTAAGGGATAATATTCAGGAATTCATTGGGAAGAACTTTGTTATTAGCAATAATTAGCATGGTTTTATGAAACATCGGTCATGTCAAACTAACCTAATTGCATTCTACGAAGAAGTAAGTAGAAGTATAGATCAGGGTGTTGCAGTGGATGTGATCTACTTTGATTTTGCCAAGGCATTTGATATGGCTCTTCACAATAGGTTAGTCTTCAAACTAAAAGAAATTGGTCTAGATGAATATTCTTGTTCTTGGGTAGAACATTGGTTTAAGGATAGACTACAACAAGTTGTAATTAATGGTACATTTTCAGGCTGGACAAAAGTGGTAAGTGGTGTCCCTCAGGGTTCTGTTTTGGGACCACTTTTATTTAACATATTTATAAATGATCTTGAAATAGGCATTGAAAGCCATGTATCAGTGTTTGCAGATGACACAAAACTTTGTAAAGTAATAAAACGTGAGCAGGATATTGCTTTGCTGCAGAGGGATTTGGATAGATTGGGGGAATGGGCACTAAAATGGCATATGAAATTTAACATAGAGAAATGCAAAGTTATGCACTACAGGGTTAAGAATGCACAAGCAACTCACACACTAAATGGTAGTGAATTAGGGATAACCACACACGAGAAGGATTTGGGAATTGTTATAGACAACAAATTTGGCAGCAATATGCAATGTCAATCTGCAGTTGCTAAGGCCAGTAAGATTTTGTCATGTATTAATAGGGGCATAAATTCTCGGGATGAAAATATAATTTTGACTCTTTATAAATCGCTGGTAAGACCACACCTTGAATATGCTGTGCAATTGTGGGCGCCTGTTCTAAAGAAAGATATCATGGCACTAGAAAAGGTCCAGAGACGAGCTACAAAATTGATAAAAGGAATGGAGCATTTTAGTTATGAAGATAGGTTAAAAAAAAATTAAATCTGTTTAGTTTGGAAAAACGGTGCCTGAGAGGGGATATGATAAATTTATACAAATATATTCGGGGCCAGTACAAACCTTTATCTGGAAATCTATTCATAAACAGGGCTATACATAGGACACGAGGTCACACATTTAGGCTGGAAGAAAAGAGATTTCATCTAAGGCAAAGAAAAGTTTTTTTTACAGTAAGAGCAATAAGGATATGGAATTCTCTGCCTGAAGAGGTGGTTTTATCAGAGTCCATACAGATGTTTAAACTGCAATTGGATAAATAGTTGCAAAAACATAACATACAGGGATATCATTTCTAATTAGTGGGGTAATAGCTGCTTGATCCAAGGAGACATCTGACTGCTATTTTGGGGTCAAGAAGGAATTTTATCCTAATTTGTGGCAAAATTGGAAGCACTTCAGACCAGGTTTTTTGCCTTCTTTTGGATCAACAGCAAAAACATATGTGAGGAAGGCTGAACTTGATGAACACAAGTCTCTTTTCAGCTATGTAACTATGATGAAAGTTAAATTTTATTCACCTACTACAGTGAGGGAAAAAAAAGTATCTGATCCCCTGCTGATTTTGAACGTTTTCCCACAGACAAAGAAATGATCAGTCTAGAACAGGCTTCCCCCAACTTATTTCACTCATTGCCATGCAAATCAATTCATAACTTTTTTGACATGCATTTTCTGTATTTTTTTTTGTTTGTTTGTTTTCTTATTTTGTCTCTCACTGTTAAAATACACCTACCATTAAAATTATAGACTGATCATTTCTTTGTCAGTGGGCAAACATTCAAAATCAGCCGGGGACCAAATCCTTTTCCCCCCTCACTGTACTACTCCTGTTATTACCTCTCTGGGTTTACACCACCTGAGAGATATTCATTTATTCACATATTTGTCCCTTCTGCTTTCTCAACCACAGTATCCTGGACTTTGTATTTAATACTTCATGTGTGTCATTTATAATATATACTTTTTATGTGTTAGTCCGGTATACTAGTCATGTCTACTTACTTAGGAGTATTGTATATCATTTGGATATTATTATTATTATTATTATAATATTTTTTTTTTCTTTACACAAACACTCTTTTGTTTGGTCCGTGTATAATGAAGACTATTTTAATCTCATCATTTTCTATGTCATTAATCCATCCAGTATACAAATCACTCTCTTAGAGATCCTAACCTTAGTGACCTTTGGGTTGCTTTGTTTTTTTTTTTAAGTCCTTCTTCGTATTGATATATACTGTATATAAGTGTTACCCCATATTGCGGAGCTTCTGGCTCAACTTTATATCTGACCCATTGACTTACTTACAGTTGTGCAAAAGAATTTGCATACCCTTGCAGAAAAAAAGAAAATGATATAAAAAGATATCCAAAGCCTTGAAAATGCCAGTCAGCGCTGTTCAATCATGTATTAAAAAGAGGAAAATTGGGGAGCTCTTGCTACTAAACCAAAGTTAAATAGACCAATAAAGATTTCAGCCACAACTGCCAGAAGAATGTATGGGATACAAAGAAAAACCCACAGGTAACCTCGGGAGAAATACCGGCTGCTCTGGAAAAATACTGTGTGGTTGTTTCAAGGAGCACAATACGATGATACTTGAACAGAAATGAGCTACATGGTCGAATTGCAAGAATGAAGCCTTTACTGCGTCAATGCCACAAAAAGCAAAGTCTGAGTTTTATGGTCATAACCATAAGCACTATGTTTGAAGACGGGTCAAAAAGGCCTATAGCGAAAAGAATACCATCCTCGTTGTGCAGCATGTTGTTGACTCACCGATGTGAGGGGTGTGGGGGTGAGCTCTAAAGGCACGGGAAATCTTGTAAAAATTGATGGCAAGATAAATGCAGCATGTTATCAGAAAAAACTGGCAGACAATTTGCATTCTTCTGCATGAAGGCTGCGCATGGGACGCTCTTGGACTTTCCAGCATGACAATGACCCTAAGCACAAGGCCAAGCTGACCCTCTAGTGGTTTCAGCAGAAAGAGGTGAAGGTTCTGGAGTGGCCATCAGTCTTCTAATCGAGTAACTGAGGAGATCTCAAGTGTGCGGTTCATGCAAGATAAATGGGCAGCTATACCATCTGCAAGAATTAGGGGCCTCACAGACAACTAATACAATAAACTGCACGTTGTCCTTGATGCTAAAGGGGGCAATACACAGTATTAAGCGCTAAGGGTATGTAGACTTTTGAACAGGGGTCATTTAATTTGTTTAAATGTTTTCTTTTAAAATGGTTCATATATTACCAATTCTCCGAGGGTATGTAAACTTTTGAGCACAACTGTAGCTATATATTTATAACTTGGTAAAGTGTCAGTACTTGATAAATGTGTAATATTCGGCAGATGCACTAAAGACTTGTTTGTCTTTAATTGATTTTTTTTTTTTTAATAAACATTTTCCTTTTAGTATTGCTCTTAACAGTTTCATTTTTCATTCTATATTTTACATATATTTTTTTTGTTTTGGATTGGCAGATCCAAAAATGAAAAGAACTGTAATGATTTGATGATGAAAATTAGATTAAAGCTCTAAAATATTTCACCCTTCGTCCAAAGGCTGATTTCACATCATTATTTCTCAAGCTGTAAATCAGTGGGTTAACCATGGGCACAGCAGCAGTGTTAAATAGAGAAAACAGTTTATAAGAGATCACAGTGTTTGTAGATACTGGGGTTAAATATTGGCATCCTATGGTAATGTAGAGAAACAGGACCACTATGAGGTGTGAGGAACACGTATAAAAAGCTTTACGTCGCCCAATTTTTGTCTGAATTCTCAATATCGTCACAATAATGAAAACATAAGAGATGAAGGTAAGCAGACAAGGGGTGAGATTTAGCAGTAACAGCCCCTCTGTAAATATCAGTATCTCCAAAGCCAACGTATCACTGCAAGAGAGTTTCATGACTGGCACAAGATCACAGTAGAAATGATTGATAGAGTTTGAACGATAGCAGGTATAACTTGATAATAAAATGATATACGGTATAACTTGTAAAAATCCCAACATCCAACAGACAATGGCTAACAGGCAACAGGTCTTGGAGTTCATGACTAGTGGATAACGTAGAGCCATGCAGATCGCTGCGTAACGATCATAGCTCATTGCCGTTAATAGTAACAGTTGATCACCGGTGATACTCGAGAAAAAATACACTTGTGTCATGCAGCAGAAAAATGTAATTGTTCCATTACCTGTTACATACTTCACCAGGATCCTATGTAGAGTGACAGTGGTAGAAGACATGTCCATGACAGACAAGTTACTAAGGAAGAAGTACATGGGAGTATGAAGGTGACGATCCATACAGATCAGGAGGAAGATGGTCATGTTGCCACCAAGAGTGATGATATACATGAATAGAACCAGGAGGAAGATTGGAAGCTGCAGGTTGGGATCATCCGAAATCCCTTTAATAATGAAATATGTTACTTTGGTGTGATTTAACATTTCTATTTTGATGGTGTTGGTTCTACAAGAAAAGAAATTGTAAAAACAGCAATCGTAAAAACAGCAGATTAAACTCACCTTTACATATTTAATGCTTTTATTAAATATATTGACTTTTAATGTGATGTTTCAATGAGTGTGCAGAGTGTAAATGGGGTTAAGGAATCCCAGACACAAGACTAATAAAATACAGCACTGGTTTATATTTCTGCATTATGTAGATAATGCATTAAGCACACACAATAAAAAAAAAAAAATACTAACAAGTTTAAACTACTATTAAGAAGTGTCGGTAGCAGACAGACTCATTCCTCACCTGGAATCAGCTCCACCAATTTGGGGTTTTGGAATCAATAGTTTATCATAGGATGAAGGGAACCACTCTTTAGACGGATAGAGTGAAAGTTTTGCAAGGTACTTTGATAGAAAGTTGTTAAAAGTAAACAAATTCTGGTCACAATTCTCAGTGCCGGTTTGAAGCGGCTCTGGGAATTGTGAGTGCATTACTATAGATATTTAATAAGGGATTCAAATAATTCAGAGATCCTGCACTATAAAGCAGTGTTTCCCAACCCAGTCCTCAAGGCACACCTACCAGTCCAGGATTTAGGGATTACCCAGTTGTGTCTAAGGTGTTTTTACAAAGAAGAAAAAAAACACCTTAGACACAACTGGGTAATCCCTAAATCCTGGACTGGTAGGTGTGCCTTGAGGACTGGGTTGGGAAACACTGCTATAAAGCACTGTTTATCCTTTCAGATTTATATATGAAAATTGTTTACACAAAGCTGACCACAAAAGAAAGCAAAATGCTCATTGTTGTCTGGTTTGTTTCTTTGTGAATTGTCCTTATGGCACTTTGGGTTATGGAACATGGATGACCTATCAATAGCCCCCCAAAATACATCCTTTCTATTTCACCATTAGCATTTACTGCCTTCACTGTAAGACTATTCCAAGTATCCTTTCTTTTACGTAGATTTTATCACTTACAATTATGTTTAAAGCTCCCATTCAGCTGAACGCTGTTGGAGGAAGTCTCGCACCTTGTCAGACTTTCTCCATTAAAATTTGTCTTGCGGTCATACAGTGCAGCCCTTACCCTTGCTAAACAGTCCTACTTTTCCACTCTCATTAGTTCATGCTCCCACAATCCTAGGCATCTTTTTAATACCTTTAACGCTCTTCTTCGCCCTGCTGTTTTCTACCCCACAAACTAATCTTTTAGCTAATAGCTTTGCATGTTACTTTACTGACAAGATTAAACAGTTAATGAATTAATTCTCCCCTATTCTCCCCTATCCATCTCAACCTCACTTGGACCATACCAAGAGGTGGCGGTGATTCTCATTTCCTCTAGCCCCGCCGCTTGATCCCATCCTGTCCCACCTCATCAGATCTCTCTCCCCTTGTCTTGTGCCTTCCTTAACACACATCTTCAACTGCTCTATTTCTTCTGATGTTTTCCCAGCTCCCCTTAAAAATGCTACTTCTTCAAAAAGCCATCTCTTGACCCAACTCTCCCTTCCAACTATCGTCTCTTTGGAAGGAGCTCCCTTTTTCCTCAAAGCTTTTGGAAAGACTTGTCTTCACCCATCTGACTTGCTTCCTCAATTCCAACTTTCTCATTGACCCTCTTCAGTCTAGATTCTGCCCCCTCAACTCCACAGAGACTGCTCTGATTCGAGTTACAAATTATCTAATTGCAGCTAAAAGGCCACTACTCCATACTAATTCTCATTGACCTCTCTGCTGCCTTTGACACTGTTGTCAATCCTTTAAGAAGTCTCTCAAAACTCATCTTTTTAGGAATGCTTACGGCTTCCAAAAGTAAATTCTATCTCTTAATCCTTCCTCTTGTTCTCCTAAAGTGACACACTCCACTCTCACCTCCAGTTCTGCTACTTTCCTACCACGTCTATTTGCTGTCTCCCTCAATACCCTTTCTATTGTGTTTTTATACCTCCTCGAGATTGTAGAGTCATTTGAGCAGGGTCTTCAACTACCTATTGTTCCTGTTACACTTTGTTATTGTCTCATTTGGTAAATTCCCCTCTTATTGTAAAGCGCTGCGGAATAAGCTGGCACTATATAAATACCAATAATAATAATTTTTAAAAAAGTGTAAAGTGGCTCCTGTTTTATAGGAAAGTGCTAAGCTATAGGGGGGATTTATTATCACGGCAAAAACGATTTTGGGTATAAGTTGCTAAAACTGCTTGTTTCTGGACTAGCAAAAGTATGGAATTTGCTCCCTCTGTAATATATTAAGGGGATGCAACTTATTTAGTCACAAGGCTGGAACCGGTTAATAAAACACCAAAAAATGATACTGCACTCAAAAAAAAGCTTTAGATAAAGTTCATTGCTTCACTTAATAATTCAATATAATATTGTATAGACAAAATTCATTGATTGCAAAAAAAAATACTCAAAATAAATAAATGTGTCAGTTCTTTGTATGTTTTAACATCTTCAAGCTGTTTATAGATCTCTTCTTATCCCATACTACCATTGGCTCTTCCCATTGGCTCTTCGTATGTGAGTGTATTTTATCCATACGTTGTTTTATTGTTTATTACGGTATTACCCTATGTTATTTTTCTGTGTTTTTTTCAGAGAGTAATTCTACTGTGAGTAATATTATTGTGTTTTGTGTGCTCTCACCATATTTTATTTATTCTTCACTTGTGTTATTTTAGTGGTTATTGTGGCCCACTAAGGTAATAGTAGCACCAGTATTTGTTCAAATTATTTTACACCGTACGTTTTATATTTTACTATTTGTCTTAGCCACTTTTCGGTGATAATCTATTTTTGAATATGTCTATTGGTCAATTAAGATCAGGATGGTTGAAAGACCTAGATAAAAAATATTCTGGTAACAATACAGTTATTAGTGGAATTATTTCTAATAATTTGGATGTTACTTGTCTACAATTAGAAAGACTCCTGATCAAAGAAATGAAGCTAAAATGGGAAGTTTTTATGTTCGAAAAATATACTTCCCTCCAAATTACACCTAGAGGTCTCAGATTTTATAAACTCCCAACATCAGACCAAGACAATCCAGTTTTTATGCAAATTTGGAATAATTCGTTGGAATCTTTTTCCAAACATATGGTATTTTAATAGAACAAAAATCACAGGTTTTAAACCAGTTAGATATTTCCATCAGAGAAATTCAATCTCAATTAGAACCATTTAAAGTGATGGAAGAATTAAATGAAATTATAGATACAATGATCATAAAAATAAAAAATATAGAGGTTAAGGTAATTGAAAATAAAAAAAGAAAACTTCAGCGAGATCAAGAAGATTATAAGAGTGGTAATATTAGGTCTGAACAGAAGGCTAATTATCAGAAAAGAAGAGTTTTTCCCACAGTGAAACATAATAGAAGGTACCAAAGTCCTAACAATAGAAATGCAAAAACAGATAGAGACCTGGTACAGCCAGTAGCAGCCAGATGGAGATCTCGGTCCAGAAGGGAGTTAGAAGATCCTCTTAGTCAATTTTTTAAAGATAATGATAAATGGACTGAAGTTAGGTCTAAAAAAATCAATGAAACAAAGTGACTGTGGGACTGATAATGATAGAAATAGAAAACCTTTCATTAGGCGGACCCCAAAAAGAAAAGAAATCTTTGAAACCTCTAACAGATTTGAGCACCTTAAAAATCAAGACTCAAATGATTTTTTAGGGATAAGACCCTTAGAAATAAGGGAAAAGAGACAATGACATACCCCATTAAAAAGATCAAGAGAACTAGGAGAGGAAGAAATAGAATTAAAGGAAGAAAGGGAAAAAAAGAGGAGGAACGAGAACTTTTGGAGAAAATAAATTTAAAAAAAGATAATGATAATTTTAGAATTTTTAATTTATCTAATAAAGTTTTAACGGAAGCGCATGTTAATGTTTTTAGAAAGGGTTTTAATTTTCCCCCTAGTTGTAATTTAGATAAATTTAATTCTTTTTTAGACATTAATAGGTTTTTAAGAAAGTTATGTCTTAAAAACTTTTTTAAGGTACCTTTAGAAAATACACCAACTGATATTAATGATATATTTATTCATAGAAAAAATCTACATTCTACCCTACTAATTGCAAATCTGATGTAATGAAAACCTTTGAAAAATTGTGCTGCAAAGACATTAAGAAGATTAAGCCAATTAATAAATATCAGGAAAATTTATTGAGAGAGGAGAAAATAGCTATGAATGATCTTAAAAAAGATAAATCAATTATTATTAAACCAGCAGATAAGGGGGGTGGGGTGGTAGTATGGGATAAGAAGAAATATTTACAAGAGATCTATAAACAGCATGAAGATGTTAAAACATACAAGGAACTGACACATAACCCCCTTCCAGAAATCAAATTAAAATATAAGGAATTTTTAAATGAAGGGTTAGCAACAGGTATTTTAACGAAAAAAGAGTACGAATTTTTAGATAATAAATACCCTAGGATTCCTGTCATTTATATTTTACCTAAAATACATAAAGATATTGATAATCCTCCAGGTAGACCAATAGTGTCTGGAATAGGGTCCCTGTTATCCCCTTTGTCTCAATATATAGACCAATTTTTACAAAAGAAGGTGACCAAATGTCCAGCATATTTAAAAGATACGATGAGTCTACTCCAAATTTTAGAAGATTTTACTTGGCAGGAAGACTTCATTATGGCAACATGCGACGATAAAAGTTTGTATACCATTATTGAACACGAAAAAGGGTGTGAGGCTGTTAAATTTTTCTTAAAAAAGTCAGGAGAGATGGATGATCTCCAAATAGACTTTTTAATTAAAAGTATTGAATTTATTTTAAAAAACAATTTTTGGGGGGTTTGAGAATAAATTTTATCTTCAGATTTTAGGTACAGCAATGGGGACCAGATTTGCCCCAAATTACGCAAATCTTTTTATGTCATTTTGGGAAGAAGAATATATCTTCTCCAAGACAGATTTTGGGGCAAGTCTGGTCCTCTATAAAAGATATATAGACTATATTTTTATTATTTGGAAAGGAAATAGGGAATCTCTGGAACTTTTTATTAATGCTCTTAATTCTAATTTTTATAACATTAATTTATCTTATGAAATTAGTAAAGAAAATGTTAATTTTTTAGATCTTTTAATTTATATTGAAAATAATAAAATCAAAAGCAAAACTTTTTTTAAAACTGTTGATGTAAATAGTTTTATAGATTTAAAAAGTTTCCACTTTAAACCGTGGCTCACGAATATACCAAAAGGACAATTTTTAAGATTGAAAAGAAACTGTACGGAAATAGAGGAATATTTTAAACAAGCAAAGATATTAAAATGTAAATTCATAGAAAAAGGATATACATAAGACGATTTAGATACAATAGAGAAAGAGATTGCTGAGAAAGAAAGACAACCTCTCCTTAAATACAAACCAAAAAATAGTAAAAAATTCGGAGATGAACAAAATGATAAGAAGATAATTCCTTTTATTTTCGATTTTAGTTCCAATAATAGAGCATTACAAAAGATAGTCAAAAAACATTGGTATGTTCTGAAACAAGACCCAGAAATCCTTCTGTTTTTAGATTCAAAACCTTAATTTATTTTTAGAGGGGCAAGCAATTTTAGACAAATATTAACAAAGAGCTTTTTAGACAAAGATAAAATTGATAATTTTTTAAAGGGGAGTAAGGGTTTTCACTATTGTGGTGTTTGTCAAGGATGTTTATGTAAAACCAGCAAAAATAAAAAAGTTACACAGTTTACGTAATTAATTACTAAAAGGGAATATACAATTAAGTCATTTATTAACTGCTCGAGCAAAGGTATAATTTATTTACTCACTTGTCCTTGCGGGTTACAATATATTGGTAAGACAATGCACACTTTAAAAACCCGAATTAGAGAGCATATATATAATATAAGATGTAAATTCGCTAATCATAGTGTATCAAAACACTTTGCAGAAACCCATAATGGAGACACGAAAGGTATTGAATTTGTAGGGATAGATCTGGTTAAAAACCACTGGAGAGGTGGAGATAAGGAATACACCCTGGGATTCACAGAGATGAAGTGGATGTTCGAAATGGACACCATGATCCCAAATGGTTTGAATGTGGATTTCGAAATCAATAAATATATTTAATTTTATTTTATAGATCTATCCCTGTCTATTTTAGCCCTTTTATACCTGATTATTAATAATTATTTTTTAATTTTTATATCCCATTTTCTATATAATTTTCTTAAGAATTTTTTCTTATCTTAAATGTTTTTATATATTTTCTTACATTTGAATTTTTTTTAATTTTATTCAGTGTTCATAAGTTTATTTTGTACTTTATTGTCTTTTTTCCCCTCTTTTTTAGTATATTTACTAATTTCCCTTTTATTCTCTTTAATCAGCTCTTTTTTTCAGCCATTATCCATTAGAGAACCGTTTGGGATCTATATGGTCATATGTATTTTAATTATTTCTGTTTTATATTTTGGTAAGTTTTCAAGTTTTACGTCTATTTCTATTGTATGCCGCTTAGAATATCTTTTGTTTACATCATGACGTTTGCTACACGTCATTTCGACCGAACCGGAAGTGACGCGGTGACGTGATGACGCAGGGCACGTCCCTACGTCACATGCGGAAGTACAATGCCGCAAATGCGGTGAAAATCGGCGCCAAAATGGATAGAAAAGAGACCTCACGTCTGGACAAACTACAGCACCTCTGACGAAGGCTCTCATGCCGAAACGCGTTAGGTGAACTCCAAGGACATTTTGGGACTATTTATCCATATTGTTTGTGGGACTTTCCTTGTTTCTTTTATTTATTCATTTTTATCAAATATTAAAATTAAAGTTTGATCTTGAACCTGCGTTCCTGATTCTTACATCAACTTTGAGAAGAGCCCAGTGGAAGTCTGTTCCAGTCCTGAGGATTATTTTATTTCCAGGCGTGCAGTGTGAGCCAGCTTGTAATTGGCTCTTCGCATGTGAGTGTATTTTATCCATACGTTGTTTTATTGTTTATTACGGTAATACCCTATGTTATTTTTCTGTGTTTTTTTCAGAGAGTAATTCTACTGTGGGTAATATTATTGTGTTTTGTGTGCTCTCACCATATTTTATTTATTCTTCACTAGTATCATTTTTTGGTATTTTGTAATTTTTGGAGGTAAATGGGCCACCTTGCTACTTTGCACCAATATAGATGAAAGAGTGCCTGTACATAGAATCTTTCTTGGAACCGGTTAATACTCAAGAATAGTGATGTCGCGAACCCGAAATTTTCGGTTCGCGAACGGCGAACGCGAACTTCCACAAATGTTCGCGAACCGGGCGAACCGCCATAGACTTCAATGGGCAGGCGAATTTTAAAACACACAGGGACTCTTTCTGGCCACAATAGTGATGGAAAAGTTGTTTCAAGGGACTAACACCTGGACTGTGGCATGCCGGAGGGGGATCCATGGCAAAACTCCCATGGAAAATTACACAGTTGATGCAGAGTCTGGTTTTAATCCATAAAGAGCAGAAATCACCTAACATTCCTAAATCACAATGAATATGGATTGACACCTGACATATGACATATTGACACCTTGACATATGGATTGACACCTGTCCTCAGAGCCCCTGATGCACACGGACACAGAGCAGAATAGAGACTGGTCCCCCTACATAGGGTCACTTGGCAGATATGGATTGACACCTGTCCTAAGGATCCCTGATACACAGTGACACAGAGCAGAATAGGGACTGTTCCCCCTACATCGGGTCACTTGGCAGATATGGATTGACACCTGTCCTAAGGTTCCCTGATACACACTGACACAGAGCAGAATAGGGACTGGTCCCCCTACATCGGGTCACTTGGCAGATATGGATTGACACCTTGTTACAAACTGCTATTTGTAACGGGCCCTTTAAATGGCAAATTGCCCTGCTTCCCTGGGTTGTGGAGAAGCCTACTTGCCAGCCTCCTCCCGCATGACTATGGCCCCTGGGAGATTGTGAAAATGTATGCACTTTTATTTGGTGTGTATGGCCCTTTAAGACTGTCGGTGGGCATATTGGGGCTTATGGACTCTTTATGTGACTGGTGCTGGCCCTTTAAACACCTTTTTTGGGACATCAGAAAGATTGGGACACTGCCCCTTTAAGGCCGTGTCCCCAGACTTGTTGGGGACACGGCCCCTTTAAGACGGTGTCCCCTGTGTCCCCAGACCTGGTGCAAACCCTTTGTGCCTGCCTTGCTATTTCCCACTTGGTTCAGTAAATGGGAAATTATTTCAGCTGCAGAGACTAAGTCCCATTCGGCGATGGGACTTAGTCTTTTTTTCAGCCGTTTTTTTCAGCCTTATTTCAGCTGCAGAGACCAAGTCCCATTCGGCGATGGGACTTAGTCTTTTTTTCAGCCTTATTTCAGCTGCAGAGACTAAGTCCCATTCGCGATGGGACTTAGTCGTTTTTTCAGCCTGAAATAGACCGACCTCACAGCCCAAATCTATGGAACTGTTTTGGGTAGGAAAATGTGCTTGCGGTCGGTCATAAAGGGACCTCCAGCTAACTTTTAACCCCTGGATGGATTTGGCTGATTTTTGGTTATGTTTATGTTTTAAGTGTGCTGATTCCAAATATGTAATTATGAAGATGGGATGTGTAGTTTTAAAGTTACAGGGTATGGCTAAAAACTGTATTTTTACTGCCTGTGTTTAATTATGTTAATCTTTTCCCAAACGTCATTTCGTTCAAAGTGGAGAGAATGTTAAAAATATATATTTTTGTTCGGAGTGTGAGAAATGCTTTTCAGCCGCTTCTAATCTTAAGCATCATTTGAGGAGCCATACAGGAGAGAAACCTTATTTGTGGTGTGTTTAGTATTGTTCTGATCAGTTTAATACCTTTCGCGTCTCCTATCAGTGGACGTGTATATGGCAGCCATTTTAGGAACCGCACACCTGTGACCCGAGCAAGGTCACCTCGTTCAACAGGCGACAACATTTGTCCCTCCAGGAAGAAGAGCCTGAACCCTTACCGGCTGCACGTGTCTTACCTGTACATGGAAAGCTGCTCTGGTTCCTTGATGAGCCAGCTGCCCGTGAGTTAACATGTCCCGCGGAGAAGCACTCTGTCCTGTAAAGCCTCACCAAAAAAAAGG